ATGATGGTGGTCTAAAAACCAAGGTGTTCAGGAAGGCGACAAATACGACGCAAGTATTAAACTTCAACAGTAATTACCGGGTCGGCCACAAACGCAGTTAGGTTGGGGCGCTATATTGGCGCGTTGAGGCGCATTGCAGTGAAACGGAAGACAAGGTTGCTGGATTACAATTCCTTCGATGGACACCGAGAGCTAATGGCTACCTGCACAACTTGTTCCGGCTGTGCCAGGCCGATTGCCTTAGCCCGGCTACCAATTTGCCCCAACCTATTCTATATTTATTTTGCATGGAATACAATGCTCCCTCTGATGACGTACAATTTATCCTCTGCCTATTCGTGAGCGGACCTGAAGGTCGTAGTGGCTAGGGTCTGCCTATGACTTGAGCTGACGAGACAGGTCAATCGTCTATCCTCATCCAGTTTGACAAACGGTTGCCCAGAATGGTTGCTGAGCGGTACGTAGCTTTCGGCAGTCATAGATGAGAACTCCGTGTCAGTTGGAGGTCAAACGGAGCACCTACCATGTGCATCAGGAAGCGCAAATCTGTCAACCCTACAACCTGTCTGGACGCCGACCGCCGTCAGCAAAACTCCCTTCACCGGCATTTATTCTGTATAATCATTGGTCGCCATGCGCGCCTAGAAATGAGCATGGCCGACCATCACTATCCACAGGCAAGCAGGACAACGATTTTAACCATCAAACGCTAGAATAGTATCATGATACGCCCGTTGAGGCTGTTCACAGAGAGCATTTGCCGGAGTTCTCCATGCGCACACTCAGGAAACAGGTGAGGGAATTGGATCCTTTTCCGCAAGGGGCCGTTACGACGTCATTTTCAGGCACAAGACGGATAAGAGAACGTTGTTATTTGCTAAGGAATATGCTTGTCGCCCAACTCCATCCTCTTGTGACGAAAGGTGGACCAGGTGATCATATCTGAGAAGAACCTCGTAAGAGAACAAGGCGTACTAATAACAACTTTCAAAAACTACTGACGTCTGGTAGTTGTGAAGATCCTAATTTCCAGGGGGTGGTCAATCTGACGACCGACAACGTAAACCGTCTACGGTAGGGTGTTTAGCGACCTATTTAAGGATGTTCTTGGCTATGACGGCATCCATCGGCGTCGAATGAGGACTATACTTTTGTAGGATAATGTTTCTGCTCGCTCCTCGAAGGAGATATGGCTCTGATAATTGCAGGCAAGAGTCAGTCCCTCTGTGTACGGTCATCGAACAACTTTTATTCCTACCAACAGTTTATCAAAGGGAGCCGACACAGGGCATGGAAGTGCCCTTCAATGCAAAAGAACCTTGCCGCTGTGCTGGCTAGTTATATAAATCAAAGCGCCATGAGCAATCTGGCTTTCTTCATACACTGTAGGGGAGCAATCGAAAACCTCAGAAATCTTTTATTCACCACACCAGGACACGTCTGGGTCATCTTAAACGACTGAACCAGACTGCCCGTGTGTAGTGGAGCCTCTAATGGCCCTACTCGGGGCGCTGCCGCAGCACTGGGCCTCTCCCACCAATGGCAGCCTGGTCAAAGACCAACCACGGCTATCCTAACCGGCCAATCGGCTTGCAGGTTGACCCAAGCATGCCTTTCCTCAAGGTGCTTTGACGTCTGCTCCTGCGGCACCGAACGCGTCCACTAGCCCGACTGCCAACTTGCTCCGGCCTATTCTCAATTCACTCTTTGGGTAGGATGTGGTTTGGTAGGCCCACCTGATAGACACAATACTCTTGGGGTTAGGGTTCAGAGTTATCGTAACTGCTTCTCAACCATTCAAAGACAATCGCGCATTCCCAATAGCCTTTCTTTTGCCTACAACTACTCGACCTCGTCGTATGTTCGTTCCCCGGTCCCAGCTGTAAAAATCCCTACTACCACTGGTGCCGTATTAGAGGTGACTGGGGTTTGTTTACTGCAAGTGGGGCTACATAACCACATCCGACCTCACTTTGTGCTGCTTAAAATGCTCTCTCTCTCTCTCCGTCTCTTTCTACTGGCGTCCAACTTCTCCTTTGCCTACTCCTGACCGGTTCTGAACGGCGTATTGGCGGACGCTGACGTGACAAGCCAACCGTCTATCCTCCTCCTGTTTGGCGAACGTTCGCTCAGATGCGACAGCTGAGCGGGCAGCCACAGATGAGGACTTTGTGTCAGTTTAGGGGTCAAGCGGAGCAACTACCATGTGCATCAGGAAGCCCAAATCTGTCAACCCTACAAGGTGTAGAACCTGCCTGGACGCCGGCCGCCGTCAGTCAGCCGTCACCAAAACTCCCTTTACCGCCATTTATTCTGCATAATAATAGAGTATTTTAGGGTAATAGGCAATACCCTTGATGTATTATTATTGGTCGCCATGCGCGCCTAGAAATGAGCATGACCGATCAAAACTGTCCACAGGCAAGCAGGACAACGACTTAAACCACCAAACGCCAGAAAAGTATCATGATACGCCCGTTGAGACTGTTCACAGAGAGAATTTGCCGGAGTTTCCTATATGCATACCTAGGAAACTGATGGGCGAGCCTAGTCCTTATCTGCAATGGGCCATGACAATGTCATTTTAAGTATAAAACAGAATCGGATATCCAATTCTACATTTATTTTGCACGGGATACACTGTTCCCTCTGCTGACGCCCAACTTCTTCTCTGCCTATTTGTGAGCGGACCCGAAGGTCGCGACGGAACAGACCAACCATCTATCCTCATCCTGTTTGGCGAACGGTCGCTCAGATGTGCTAGCTGAGCGGCATGTAGCTTTCAGCAGCCACAGACGAGAACTCTGTGTCAGTTAGAGGTCGAGTGAAGCACCTAGCACGTGCATCAGGAAGCGTAAATCTGGCACTCCATGCGAGGTGTACAACCTGCCTGGACGTCGGCCGCCGTCAGTCAGCCGTCACCAAAACTCCCTTTACCGCCATTTATTTCTGTATTATCATTGGTCGCCATGCGCGCCTAGAACTGAGCATGACCGAGCAAAACTGTCCACAGGCAATCAGGACAACGATTGTAACCACCAAACGCCAGAAAAGTATCATGATACGCCCATTGAGACTGTTCACAGGGAGAATTTGCCGGAGTTTCCTATATGCACACCTAGGAAACTGATGGGCGAGCCTGGTCCTTATCTGCAATGGGCCATGGCAATGTCATTTTAAACATAAAACAGGCCCGGATATGGTTACGTAGCCCCACTTGAAGTAAACAAACCCCAGTCACCTCTATTACGGCACCAGTGGATATAGGGGTTTTCACAGGTGGGGCCGGGGAACGCACAGGTAACGGGGTCAAGTAGTTGTATGCAGAAGAAAAGCTATTGGGAATTCGCGGTTGTACTTTGAGTTGTTGAGAAATAGTTGCGCTAGCCCCTAACTATAACCCCT